ATTGTCTGGCAGTAATGATATTGCTTTTGTTCCCATTCCAAAAAGAAAACCATTACAACAACAAAAAAGCAGCATCTCAAGCTTTCTGTGGATCAGAGTATCCTCTTACTGCTCTTGAAATTCAACCTTGCTCACGTTATAGTGACCTGTTGGCTACAAATGAGCAGATTATAATGAGTTTTCTATTAGAAACTCAAGGTACACAGAGTTTAAATGAAAGTTAATTTATTGCCATCATAAATCTCTAGAAGAGGAAAGAGATTTATAGCACTGGAACTTCCCTATCACAGACTTTCCTTGCACAATTATAAAGGCGTCTGGCTGCCTTGAAAAGCTAGGAGACGATCACCAACTTTTTAAATCTGACCTAAGTCTATTAATTAAAATAGTTGAACTATTAAGTGAGCATGGCCTACATTTGCTACAAGAAGGTGGAGTGATAGGCTAATCAACAAAATAGTTCATGATTGAACGCAGACTGACCAATTACAGAAATCATCCTTTATGTTCTCAAAGAGGCAAGCATCACGTGACTTCCCTGACCAGAGCATATTGATATCAGTGATCCCTGGTGATCCACCAATGCTTGCATAGCCATAGAAAAATAGCCCTGTTGATGTACTCTCTGTCAAGGGGCTCTGGCGCCAAAACAGAGATATACATGCCGTCTATCGCTCCACTGCGGTTCAGGGACCCACTACTGCAAATCCACCTACTATGTCTTGCACATTGCCAAGAGTCACATTCCTGTGTAGCAGAGGCAATTAATGGCCCTGCACACTTTCGTGACAATGGCCCCCAGAGCGGATTTTCCAACTCCAGAATGATTTGGTAGCAATCTGGCATTGCAAGTTTCCGCAGCGCAATCGCCACTCGCTTCTCCACTGTCAGTGCAGCTCTCGTTCTGGTGTCCCTAGGCCGGAGGTCTGGGACAAGCTAGGCACACAGATCCAGGAATGTGGCCTTGCGCATCCAAAAGTTTTGCAGCCACTGCTCGTCATCTCAAGCCTGCATTACGATACAGTCCCACCAGTCAGTGCTCGTTTCTCGGGCCCAGAAGCAGCGCTCCACCACCTGCAGCTGCTCCGTGACCATCAACAACAACCTTGAATTGGTTCTCGCTACGTTCCACAGCAATCTGTCCTCCGAAAAATCTTCATGATTGCATTATTCTTGTGGCTCTGTAAATACCAGAGAATACCTTGCTTGCAACGCTTAGGACAATAGTGTAGAGCTGTGCAGGCTCCATGCCTCTGTCAGACATGACAGATAATGAGGAGAACCATGAGAGTTCATTGGATTTTGAAAAAAGATGCCAAAATTATGGGATATAGAGGACCTGGATTAAGACAGTTGCATGCTGGGAAGTTAACCCCTTGCTCCCAGTAACCTCTGTGCAACTTGTTTAGGCCCCGCCATGCTTTGCCAAAACTTCCCAAAAGACAGTAGCCGCTTGCACACTGGGATACCTACCCAAACTGCACTGCACATCAACACAAATGCTTTGGGGGAGCAAGCACAGCGCTGATGCAAGGACACAAACATGCACACGCACAAGCAATATATAAACTGGGGCATCTTTCTGCCAAAGTAACTTGCGTCAAACAAAGTTTGTAGTGTAGACGTGGCCTAAGATTTTCATATTTAGAAGACTACTACTGAAGAATGGCTACAGAAGTTACATGGAAATCTCTTAAAATACAAGCTCATTAAAATCATTCTTATTGAAACTGAAGAGTTCAACATTTTGGTCTCCCCTGAGCACTTTCAAGGCATGCTCATGAATTCCTTACAGAAGACTGGGGTGTTCAGTATGATGTGGCCAGATATTAACTTTTATACTTTGATCTACAGTTTAATAGGGAGAAATGCTACAGTGCACCAATAATCCCTTATAGTTAAATGAGAAGGTAAATATCTTTAAAAGCAGGATAACTAATGGCAGAAAATGGCATGCAAAGCAGGTCTTCCATACGGGGCTTCTATATTATAGATGCAAGCAACCTTAAAGACCAACTGAAGAACTGTTACATTACCTTAGCCAATCGGCTCATCTGATCTTCTGAGAGTGTGCTGCTGGTCCTCCCGGGAGTTTTGGTGGGCTCTGAGCCATCAGCTTCTACATTGGGCCAGACTTTCAAGTCATGCATTCCTTGACGGAACATACTATAAGAAAGATGCAGCACCACTTTAGTAAGTTGCAAATACCACAGCCATCAGTATCCAAGTACAATGATAGTACTCCCACATTCCTTTTGCCAAACTTTCAGAATCACACTGACATGCATTATTTAACTGACCTGCAAAGTGCATAGTAACTCATATTTTAGGTGGCCTTCATTTTCAGTGACACGTACAGTTCAAAAATAAATGAATAAGATTCTAGTCATGGTAAGTGAAAAAAATTGTCAATTCCCAAAGTCAATGGGGTGGCACAGGTGTAAACTGAAGGCAGGACTTGGCCTTCGATTTTTATTACCAGTGACGATGCATGAGGCAGTAAGAATGCCACCTGGTTTACAGATTATGCTGCTGACTTTAAAGAGCAGGCACTTAGGAACAAGTATCTTTTTTACTTGTAAACTGAGCAAGTGTGCTCTGAAAGTCAGTAAAGACAAATATGGAACCCCTCAATGCCATTTGCACAAAATGTTGTATGTGGTGTTGTTGTAGCCATGTCAGTCCCAGGATATTAGACAGACAAGGTGGGTGAAGTAATATCTTTTATTGGATCAACTTCTGTTGGTGAGAGACACAAATTTGGATCTTACCCAGAGATCTTCTTCACGTTTCCCAGACCTTAAGAGCTGCTCTGAATAAGCTCAAAAGCTTGTCTCTCTCACCAACAGAAGTTGGTCCAATAAAAGATATTACCTCATCCACCTTGTCTAATTTTCACAAAATGACTTTTTAGACATGCACAGGTTCCACGATGATGAGCACAACAAAGACTAGCTAGTCCAGAGCCACATACCAACGAACACCCAAAACTCGGACTCCTGGCATATATGGGTTGACTCTCTGCATTTCAGCTGGGATTTTTAACAGACTCCTAAGGGAATTAGGTACAGAAACTCCCACTGATTGTCAGTCACAGTTGGTTGTCTAGTTCCCTTAGGCGCCTTTGACGATCCCACTCTTCCTGAATTAGCTTTACCTTATACTAATACTGCATAGACAGGCATTTTGCATTTCTTATCCTTTTAAACAAACAAAAAAGACTAGTCCTTATTTTATGATAAACTCTGGTTGAGACAAGTGTACTGGTGCTTATCAATGTCATTACAACACTGAAAGAGCACATGCCAGCCAAATGTTGATGATCTGTTCACACTTCAAACTAAGCACCTATTTCCATACCTATATAAACATGCAGTGCAGACAGTTGTTAATATATGAACCTACTGGAGTACATGATTTGAAGTGCTCTCAGCACGTGCAATTTTAAAACTTAAGAGCTTTCAGAACTTTCAGCCTAAAGACTTGTCTCCTTTAGGGACTTTTGAACCAAAATAGCTACATCTTTGCAACACTCCAGGGCAGATCAGTTGCATGAGTGTGAAGCAGAGCAAGTCACATTTGTACAAGCACTGCTTTATACCATTGCAGCAACGTAGCTACATCAGTGCATCACTCCCTAATATGCCCATTGATTCTTATTACTGTGCACAAATGCAGTTCAAACTATTATTTTACGATACCATGCAAGGAAAAGAAACATACCCATATTTTCCAAAGAGCGAGACTGTTGTTCCCCCTACTGGAACTGCTTTACCTGGCCCATACACATCCCAAATTGTCAGAGCCACTTGTGCATTGCGGGGCAAGTCAGGATACTTCACAGGCAATTTTAGCCATTCATTCCAACTGAGGAGAGAAACTCACTGTTAGTTATGAGCTTCATATTTCAAATTGTTCTATTTTATACTCCATACAGGTATTTTTCCCTAATATTTAAACTTTGAAGATATGGCTGAATATGGTCATTTGGGCTCTGGCCCTGTACACACTTACACACGTGTAAGTATTTGCAGGATCAGAGCCAAAGAGAACATATTCAAAATTCATAACTGAACTCTGTTGATGGGAATCAAACAGCCTTGCAAAATTGTCATGAACATTTACAGGCCCAGATCAAAAAATAAAAATAAAATAAAATGCAACTCAGCCACACTTAACCAACTGAATTGAAAAAAGGCACAAATACACCTCTACCCCGCTATAACACGGTCCTCTGGAGCCAAAAAAATCTTACTGCATTATAGGTGAAACCGCGTTATATCGAACTTGCTTTGATTCGCCGGAGTGCGCAGCCCCGGAGTGCTGCTTTACCACGTTATATCCGAATTCATGTTATATCGGGGTAGAGGTGTACACACATTTTAGGCATGCCTCAAAAGTAGCTAACTAAAGTTACTTCACTAACAATAATAATTATTAAATGTCAGGGGTGCTATTCTGAAAAAAATCAAAGTAAAAAACACCAATTGTCACTCTTAAAATTTCCTTTATAACTGACAATTACAAAGATATATTAGGATGTGTAAAATAAAGCTATCTGAAACACAGAATTTTTGGCTTCTCTAAACTGGTGAAAACTGTTTCACTGAAGGAGATATTTCAAGCAGAACACAAATGAGGATTTCTGCCCTTTTCTCCATAAGCAAATGGAAATTGCTTGGCTTGATGTAGTTTCCACTATGATGTAGTTATGATTTGCAAATGAGATACATTTTGACATTTCCTTTGTACCACAACGGGCTATACTGCTTGGATTTCCTAGCAAATAAAACATGTATGCTACTTTTTATACCAAACAATCAAATCGCTGTTCACCTTGCCTTTGCAGAGATTTTACGGCCAAAAGGGCCCATTATGATAATCTATCCTAACTTCCTGTATATGCTGTTCCTTTGCCTGATCCCTCACCTCCTCACACTTCATTTGTTTTTCTCCACTTGTTCTCTAGCCATATGTTAGGACTGTAAGCTATTTGAGGTAAAGAGTATCTTTTGATTATGTGTGTGTACTGTACTCAGCACAATGGAGCTCTGACTGGAGTTCCTAGGCACTACCACAGTACAAATAATATTAACCGTATTAAGAATCAAGAATGTGAAGAAAACATCCCCAGACTATTGATTAATAGTTTCTCTTTTATAATTTGTCAATTTTGGAAAAGCCACAACATATATTAATGTAGTTCAATGTCCAAGTACTTATGATGTATATGAAATACAATGTAGTCACTTACTTCCATCTAGTGCTAAAAGCTTTGTAGGAAGTCCTAACTGGAAGAGCAAGAGGTTTCCCTTCTGCAAACACTTGGCAAGTTACATACAAGTCAGAACAGGTCTCCTGGTATAATCCCGAGAACTTCAGCATAGGGTCTTCCAAAACAGCTTTGTAACTCTTCTGTTCTCTTTTCCCTTCCAGACTTCCTCTAAATTAAAAAAAAAGAAAAAGAAGTGTGATTAAACCAGAATTTTAAGTAACCCAGTTATGCCTAGTTCATATGTGTTAACAGTAAATGCCAACTTCATTTTAAATACACACAGTACTGGGGAGTGGAATGGGATTTTTATTGAAATTATTAAGCACAGAGGCTGGCTATCTTTGTCTTGCAATTATTAATTGTACTGGATTACTATTTTTCAGAGGGAAATGTCATCTAACTATGTGAGAAGGATTCAGAAATTGACGTGACCAATGAATTTAGCTTATTTTTTAAAATTGATTATTTAATGTAATGTATGATGTATCTTAGCAGAGAAATCAGTGAAGTTTCTTCCACTGACTGAAGTGGGGCATTGCAGGGCTCCCTGCTGGAGCCCCCAACTCACCCCAGTGTGACAACCAGAGCTGTGAACCCTATGTGGGCTCAATTTTGCAACAGGGAGCCTACCAACAATGCAATTCACATTCTTGTTAGTTTCACTAGCCAGCATGGAACTCACAGCTGGAACTGTGAAACAGACAAGAATGTCAATTTCCTTCCTGGTACGCTCCCTGCTGTGAAATTCAGCCCCAAGGCTCACAACTGGGCTGTCACCCAGCTGTGAGCTCTGCACCAGGCTGACAACTAGAGGTGGGGGGACAGCTGTGTGCCCAGTGCCTGCTCATTTTCAAAGGAGGGAGCCTACTAGCTGTGAAACTGACATTCTTGTCAGTTTTAGCTAGAGCTGTGAGCCCCACACTGCTGCTCTGAGCCAAAGGCAGCCGTGAAACTCACAAAAATGAAAACCAAGGTGAGTAAGGCAGTGTCTACATGGACACTGTGTTGCCCTAACTACACTGACATAAGCACTATGCCTCTCATGGAGGTGGAATTATTATTTTGGTGTAGCAGGCCACTCACTTCAGTGGAAGCAGCATTTTAGCGTAGACACTGACATAACTAGGTTGACGTAAGCTGCCTTACCGTGACCTAACTCTGTAGTGCAGACCAAGCCTAAGTTATGAACATACTTAAGTGTTTACAGCATCCAGGCCTGACTGTCTATACCGAAAGTGCAAAGTGTTATCAAACGAACAAGGTGAACAAGATGGGGTGGGGGGAAAGAAAGGGGAGAGATTTTCTCCCCCTTCTAATATTAAGTGTTAATGGTGACACAAGCAGGTTATCAGGCACAGTAGCATTAAGCTGCTAATGCACCTTTATCAGCTGACCTGGTCAGACAGTGTTTTTACCAGGTTAAGACTAACCCCAAAGAAACGTTTCTATGGTTTTCTGAAGGAAACCAGACAGGTTTGAGCCAGCGGCTATTACCCAGCAGCGCCTGACACCCAACCCTGCTGCAGCAGTGAGACCCTGAAGGTGAAACTGACTGGGCTGAGCATGACTGCCCCAGCTAAGAGACCCGCTGGACAGGAGCAGGGCAAGTCCCTGGGGTCCCCAGCTCCATTGCAGGGAACACTGCGATCGGACCCAAAGCCAGTGCCGGGCCCCCTGTGAACCAACAGAGCCCCCTTTGTAGGTGCAGGGCCAGGGCCCTGGGCCAACCCAGCTCCCTCCACCGCCCCGTCCCGACCCCGCTGGGACAGGGCAAACCCCGGACCCAGCTTCCCTCCCCCACCTCCCCGAGGGGAGCCCTAACCCAGCCCTTCCCCCACAGCCCCCACCGTCTCCATGATGGGCTGCGTCCCCCTCCCTTCCTGAGGTGCCCCCTTCACCTACCTGCCCCGAAAGGAAAGATCCTCCCCCCCCCTCAGCCGGGGGGGGGGCAGCCCCGAGTCCCCTC